ATTTAAGAATCATCGGCCTGAAATATTAAAATCAATTGAGACGAGGTTTTTATCACAATTGAGGGTTATTTTCGCTTTAGTGGCACAAATTAAAATATTTCAGACCCAAAATACACAATACACTATGTTTTCTATAGCGATCGTCGTGCGGCGACCCCACTCAATCACACAATGCATTGCGGTAAACATTGCGTGACGTAATTATTACAGAGGGTTATCGCACACGCACACCCCAACAGCCACACCTGTTGCGCTCTATGGACCAGGCCTAACTGAAAATCGCAAAACGTTGGGCTGAACTTGGCTATTTTTCCAAATTCAACATAAACGCTAGAACAATCAAGCCTACCTGCCATAGCTGATGCCATCAGAATCCAAGCCACTGCTCCGTCCATTCTCCCTGGTGTAATGATCGAGTGTTCTGCCAGTTGAATGGTATTATAACACACATGCCGCCACCATTCGCTTCGACAAATACGGGAACGTGATGTTTCCATTGGCTTTGTTAAACAGGATCGTGACCTAAAGCATCCTTCTTCAATATACCGACATCACTGACCGTATACCAATGAATTAATAACGATACGCTGCGGCACTACACGTAACATCCCCTTCTGTCTCCCACTACTTTTCCTGTATTTTTCAAAGCAACTCATCTTGCAATTAACTGGCCTATATAGATACAAAAGGGTTGGCAAATAATTACAATGCCTCTTTGGAGACGGTCCAGTGAGTACCAGCTCGGCTAAAATGGTTTATATTAAAATCTAACAATGACTATAGTCATTGTTAAATCCACCGGTGAACACATGACGCGTTTATAATCTAAACACTATTGAAAATATAAACACTTAGATGTTTACGTTATAAACGTTATACTACGTTATAAAGTGTTTATAGGCGTTTGTTTAAACACAAAATGCATTAACAGTGTCTAGCAATTAAACACTTTTCTAAACACTTTCTTGCTATACCAGTGTCATGCATGTCCAAATACTAAACATGTTTAGAGTGAGGAATTGTGTTTAACAGTTGACCATTGATGTTAAGGAATTGAACACATAATTTAAACACTATTGGACATTTAAATAGAGGGAACCATGCCTGAGCAAGGGCGACCTCTTTAGTCCTCTCCAATATTATTATACAGATGATGTACCTGATTTGCATGTTTCTTTTTGAAAATGTCTGAGTCGTTGAGGTTTTTGTGTACCGTCTAAATATGTGAAATATATCCGTGCAAAGTTCTGTGCAGGTTTCGCCACCGAGGAACTTTATACGCAGTGAACATGGATCGTCAATGCATTTAAGCAGTACGTCTACGAAAAATTTAAATTTATGCGCCTTGTTTATCGGGAGCGATTAAAGTAGTTGTCAGTTTAGAACGCTTAACAGTTGTTGCTCTTATCATAGTTCTACATGTATTCTTGTATATCACGAGGCCTATGTTCATTACTTATTCGGGACGACTTGGTTTCTGAATCAAAATCTCGCCCAAAAACTGCCCAAGTACTCGCATTGGCACCCCGCGCGCTTAGACTGGCACTATGTCCATGTACATGTTCACGAACATAATTATGTGCAAGTACTGTACATCATATTGATGTGCAGGCACATGTGATGTGCAGGCACATGTGCTGTGCATGTACATGTGCATTACATGTCATTACATACATGTACATCATGTGCATGTACATTTACATCTGTATGTACATGTATATGTTGCATATGACATTTTTTTGTACACGTTGCAAACATGCATCATGCAGGCCAACTTAGTGAAATCATGGTAATTTCAAAGAATTCGGTCATCTGATTTTTAATACAATTCGTGTTTGTTTTCAGTTTCAAGCTGACTGGCATGACTGGTGTGACCATTCCTCTATCATGATTTTTCTTGACATATTTTCATGAAGACAAACTGTAGGTCTGGATACCCTGCTGGTATTGCTGCTTCAAGGTAAGCCATCGTCCATGGACAGCATGGACGTGATAGTCTTATCAATGTGGACAAATTCCAATCATAATGAAATTAATTTTGTACATATACTTTGAAAATAAATATTTAAATGTACACACATGTTTACATAATATACGCAGCCCCCTTATTCATGTACATGATGATATAGTAAGCTGGAGCAGTATGTTACTTACCAATTAGTGTAGGAGCGGACTAGGGGGCCCCAAATGGGGGAAAGTGGATGTTGTGGAAGAGAGAGTCATTGAAGGAGATGATTGTGTATTATCAGTATAACACTGGTCATGACATTTTACCAGTGTCATGAACACACGAACACCCCCATTTTTTTGGCCAATTCTTGTATGCTCCTTGTCTTTTATACAGAATATTTGTGCTCATTTTCCTTTCAATCTTTGGTTTGTGTCCATCATTTAGTGAAAGTCAGCGACAACCTTCAGTGGCGGAGCATCATTACGAGGACATCCTGAGAGTACTAGTGTCCATTCAGCCTATTTATTTTTTTTCTAACTGCACCACCGTACTTCAAGTTGACTTCATACAGTTGGTTAATGTTTTTTGTTCAAATGAATGCATACGGTATATTTAAGAGAAATACTCTTTTTATGTTGTAAAAAAACAAACGTTGGACAATCTTGACATTGTGGTGAGGATTAACTAGCAAAAGTCTTTGCTTGTGCATTTTGGATATATAAAGGTACTGCATGTAAATTGACCACTAAAAGTATATAACTACATATAAATTGATGAGTGATTTGAAAATAATGAAGTTATTCACACACCGAACCAAGTCCAACTGTTTGTCGATGTCGTATTCTTGTAGTTAAACAAGGACATTTTAAGCCAGCCCATTCCAGCAAAAGGGCGGATGGGGTGGGCGGGGGCCATACCCCCCCCCCCCAAAATGAATTAAACGAACCCATTTTTTTTTTCTTTTTAAGTGACATCGTAATGAAGGCAGGCACTGCGTACACCATCATCTTTTTTCTAAGAAAAATTGATTAAAGTGGTCCGAATTTGTCTCAGATCCCACCACAGAGCATCTAAAATCCCCCCCAAAAAATTCTGCGCCCTTGAGCGGGCCCAGAACCCCACGCTGTAATTTTTTGGACCCACTTTTAGGCGAACCATTTTTTTTTGGCCTCCGAACAAAAATTTTGTTCTGGATACCTTGCTCCAGCAGGGGCGGATCAAGGACTTTTGGTAAGGGGGGGGGGGGTACGTCAGATCCATCAGATTGCTTTTATGTCCGATTGTTGCGGACAGGCAGACATATTATTATTAATATATAATTTTTGTATGAATTGGTTTTTTGGGGGAAGGGGGTTCGACCCCCAAAACCCCTCTTTGGATCCGCGCCTGTCCAGCTTCTCAATGCCAGGTATTCAACACATTTACGGGTTCCGAATTTACAAAGCTAAACACTTTTATAAAAATCTAATAGACAAAACATCAGTGTCTTTGCTATGTATATTTATTTATTTTTTGAAATGAGCAAAACAAACATATTTGAACCGACAATGTCTTAGAGTTACCATCATTCTAAACGATTAAAACTAACACACTCGAACTGTTGACGAACCCTGCGTAAAGTCCGGTTAATACTCGGCACAAAAGCGGATGCGAACGTGATAATGTGACATCACGGCAAGTATTCGTGCTGCGAATTTTAAAAAAAAGTGAACACATTTAAAATTGCAAATTCACTTGATAAGTTTTCTTTGCATTTGCATTCGCGTAAAGAGTGAACCCGCCTTCAATATTGAACTTTTTCCCCGAACAAAGTGTTTACATGTTTTTCTCTTACTCAATTACTAAGGCATATAATACAAAACAACAACACGAATTCAGGTGCATTGATGTCGTTATTTTGACTGCGTTAAATATGAAATTTGTCACTTCAGTGCCTGACATTTTGTTGCATTCAAATAATTAAATATTTTTCCAGGTATTTAGTATGCTAATCAGTACCATGACCTTGCATTCCCCGACTTAACGAATTCGGATTATGCAGAGCTTAACAATTTCATAAAATTTAAGTATAACTGTACTTAAACTGTTTTCAAGAACAAAAACGAAATAAGGATTAATACGATAACATTTGAACCAAAAGGTTTTCAAATACCCCAAAAGATTGAGACAAACTCTCATACTAAAAAGGTGTTATGTACCTCTACGGAAACGAACATTTTCACCAAATACAATTTTTTTTCCTAATATTCTAGGTACACAACCAATGCAATGCTCAAGTGCATTTGTTTTCAAAATTTTAAACGCGTTAAATAGTCAAATTTGTCATATTTAGTGCCACAATTATTAATATTAGTGCATTGAAATAATTAATGATACTAAAAGATGAAATTTGATTTGCTAACACTATCTTTATACGTCACAAGTATTTACATTATCTTTCTGTAAACAAAGATTATCTATGTGCAAATTGTATTAAAATGTATGTCTAGGTCACAACTAAGGTCAACCAAAACTTATAATTTGATTTAAATTTACAGTCAACCCGAATCTGCATCCGTACTGATGGCATATCACACTTTGTTTACGTGTGCGCTTTTCTGTGGTTCTACGAAACCGTCATCCCAACCAGGTTCTCATATGAAAGCACACATGTAAACAGAGGGCGACGTCATCAGTACATATAGGCTTATTGTTCAGGTGTTTTGGTTGTGCCCTTGTTTTTGTTTATAATTTTTCCTGTTTGGTTCTAGCTTTCCTACAGCAACAAGGTTCAACGACAATCGCTAATTAAGCTATCTCAGATGTGTTCTTTTTTAATATCACCAAAAAAGTGATAGTTCTATCGAACTCATGTTGCCATAGACCTTGTGTCTTCCAGCTCTCTCAGATGTGTTCTTTGTTGTAAATAAATACACAGTGATTTACTCATGCCTCTTCAAGGGGCTACAAACCATTGCCCTCTGGCTCTGCCATAACGTGATAGGTGAAATTTATATTGTAATGCAATCTTGCACAAACTAATGTTCAGAATACCACTGATTCAGCCAAATTAATCACGGCGACACCCAAGCAACTCCAGTTGCAGACGAACCTGGACATGCCATTCAGAAGGCTCAATGCGCACTACCGTAGCCACCACACTCTCACCAAACATGTTAGTGACCGGGGTGTCGTGATCAGTGTTTCCCATGAACACCTGAAACAAAAGCATGTCAATACAGGTTTTATTTGTTTAAGTGGGAAATATTGGAAGAAGGTAGTCTGAGTATTACCCGTTATCCCCGGAGCAAGACTCCTGTATAGCGTCTGATATGTCAAGAAATATACATGCAAGCCGCGCACCAGCCAATCGGAGTTGACTTTACTAAATCGTGACGTCATTTCATTCCTAAATCAGGACTGAGCGGTTTGATTGGTCAATTAGAATGCAGTGTTTTGTAATGCAACAGCTCCCGGGCGCATTTTCGCGTAACATGTTACAGAGTGCGTGACGCAGGGTTTTTTAATCCATTGTCTTTGAGCGCAACGTGTGAATGACCAAAGACCTGATACATAAAGTGCCCACTGATTGTTCAAATTCTAAAAAAAGAGGCGGGGTCTTGCCTAATTAATCAGCAAATCGATCACATATAATAGACAACATAGACAAGTGCGAAGGTAGGCTTAAATAAAATTATGATAAGTATACATGTACCTTTACGTTTCCGTTTGCATCTGTTACGTGTTCATATTCAGATGCAGGTTCCTTCTTATAGGCAACTTTGTACTCTGTCACCCATCCAATGGAAGGAGGCCGGCTTTTGGTGATGACACCAGACACCACAGTAATTTTCGCCAGATTCACCTCGATCCAGGAATCGGCGGAGCTGCGTACACAGAGTGAAGGGAGATGAACAACAATAAAATAACCATGATCCGCCGCAAACAAACGATTTTATCAGGAGAGGGATTGGCAAAACTGACCACGCGGTAAAACTACTGAAGCCTTTTATTTTTAACTGTTTATAGGAAAGTTTCAACTCTTTGTACATTAATGTTACTGGAGCTCATTCAAGGTTTAATCCACACTGTAGTTTTACTCTCATCCGAAAAAAAAATATTATTTTTGAATTGCTATTTGTTCTAGCAATGCAAAACGTACTCAATTATTAAGACATTGATCAAAAATATCGGCCCTTTTTTATTTAAGGAATAATTACTGAATAAATGTTCAATTAATTTCTTTCTGAATATAATCAAGTTCTCTGAGGGTAGAGTGGTTCCCGTATTCCTATTACAATCATCATGAAGGGACCGGGAATCAGACTTGCAAGGCAGATCTGTTTGTGCGCAATAGCAACCTTACGTAAAAGCCCCTATTGAGGGAATTGCATACACATTACATGTATACAGAAGAAAAAGTAGTATATTTCATAAAATAAACTGCTTTGTTGGCTAAATATATTATTTTTGAATTGCTATTTTTTCTAGCAATGCAAAACGTACTCAATTATTAAGACATTGATCAAAAATATCGGCCCTTTTTTATTTAAGGAATAATTACTGAATAAATGTTCAATTAATTTCTTTCTGAATATAATCAAGTTCTCTGAGGGTAGAGTGGTTCCCGTATTCCTATTACAATCATCATGAAGGGACCGGGAATCAGATTTGCAAGGCAGATCTGTTTGTGCGCAATAGCAACCTTACGTAAAAGCCCCTATTGAGGGAATTGCATACACATTACATGTATACAGAAGAAAAAGTAGTATATTTCATAAAATAAACTGCTTTGTTGGCTAGGAAAAACATAATATCACATTAAACCATCTCTCTTTCGTCTCTGTGGCGTAATATAGGGATGTGAGTGCGGGGTGTAGTTGGTTGTAGCTAACAGTGGTTTCCTTTGTTACCTACCTCGATGGTTTCCATAAACCGCCACTGTTCAGCCGTCCCTTCTCGGGTTTGCAACAGCCAGGATAGTCGATGTGCACCAAAACGCTGGACGCCGTGATGTGATCATCAGGGATTGTCCTGTCCTCCATGCCAAGAGGCTCGAAACACTCAGCTGTCGCTGCCGAGCGAGAAAATAAAATCATTTCGATTTGTACGTGTCAAGTGCCACTCCCACTTTGGGGGGGGGGGGCGCCGCTTTTTTCGGCTGATTTTCCCACAAGAGGGCGGAATTTCCAAGATGGGGATTTGGATTTTTCTATTTCCAAAACTCTTCTGTTTATAAAAAAAAAACAGTTTCCAAAGGCGCTATAACTTTTTCTACATAGCTGCAATTCTAGTCAGGCGCATTATGGGGGGGGGGGGGGGGGTTAAACAGCTCTGTCCAAAATTTGTTTTTTTTCCATAGACATTCCTTAAAATGGAATGCTATACCCCCCCCCCCCCCACTCTGCTCTGGCACCAAAAATAAACAATTATTTCTGGCATTAATATACGCCTGTGCGCAAAATACCAACAAAGCGTGCTGGGTTAGGGGGGTATTTGTACACTATCCTGTAATATAGTGTTAATAAGCGCCCCATTGAAAGTATGATACGAGCCCCCGCCCCCCACCTCCCCCTCCCACACATGCACACACACCCAGTCGTGTTTTACTATACGCCTGAGGACAACCTATTGTGTTTCCCTTTGTCCCTCTAATGTAACACTTTCCCATAGACTAAGCACATAACCATACAATCAAGGACATGTTTTAACAATAGGCACCGTCATCCGAGGGTCAAAGGCTCCTTTGTACTCCTTTTGTTGTCTGTCCTCGAGCGTAATACAATACAAGAGCACACACACACACACACACCCTACACATATTGATTATACGGAGCCAAGTGTCCGGACAACAACAAAACTGTCTACATTTCAGCATTGATTTGCTGATGAACCCCCCCCCCCCCTGCAAAAATTCCTTGACCCGCCCCTACTAGTGGAAACAACTTAAAAGATATTATGGCAAAAAATTGTGTGTAAAATATGTTGCAAATTACTGAATTAAATACGAACAAACAAACAAAAGAAGGTGACCAGAGAAAGGGAAGCTGGCGGGGATGAGACACTAGTTCATTTTATTAGCCTAATGTCATCCATCTCCCCTATGTCTGATCCGATGGTCTGAAGATCGTAGCTTGACTTACCAGCTGGGGTAGGTTGCCTCCTTCCCGGTCCTGGGCAACGCGCCCGTACCTCTCGCATGACTTGCTTCATCCAGTCATCCGGATGATCAGGATCAGGCTCCGGTGGGGGACCGAAGTAACACGTCCTCGCCTCGCTCTCCACAACAACAAAGACAGCTTGTAAATAAAGACAGATAAATGTCATTTACTGTTCTGCAAATGTTGCAACTTTTTTTCTTTTTTTTTGGTCAATTAATACACATCTGTATGTGATAGCCCCACAATACGCGATTGTGCAGTAGCCTACAGATACAGATCATAGACGTAGCACGCGGGGGGAAGACGATAAGTGTCTTTTTCAAGAAATTTTTGCACCCCCCCCATAAAAAAATATCGTGCTACGTATGCCACTGCAGATACATATCACTTTGGTTTAAATCTGATAACCCTACGATTGTTTTATTGTACTGGATACATTGTGTTTATTCATAAGACAAGAACAATGAATAAAACTGTTGTTATTTTTGTCAACTTGTTACGTCGAAGCATTTAAACTTTAAGAACACTTGTTAAGATCCGTACTTCGAATCCACCGTTAGCCGCTTTTTCTCGATTTTTTCCCCCCAAAATTTAAGTTTGATACATTTTTAATTTAAGGGGCCAATTGTCTAAGAACCTATGGATGTATCCTGACCACACCCCCAAACAGTGTTCTTGCCTTGCGTAATAGGTGCGAGCGAAGTGCTGGCCGCGCATGCAAGATGGCAGCCGACATATTAAAACGCCGCATGAAAAGAAGGAAAAAGTAATGATCTTATGAAAATAATTAAGATCCTGAAACAGCTATACCAATTGCAAAGACAAGCCCACTCTATTCCGACGTATAATTTTAGTTTTATTTATATTCTCCCGCACTGAATGTGCAAAAGTTGCGGTAAGTTCGCCATCTTTGTTCGTGACGATCTACTCCTTAATTGATAGGGTTGATGTGATCATCATGCTCACAAACACTGTCACGCATGCTGGTTCTCGTCATTTAAAACCATGTTCTCATGTTAATTCATTCAACACGAGAATGGGCTGACAAATATGCCCTAAGTGTCTGGTAAAGATTCCATCGAAATTATTGAAATATTCGTGTAAATGCTTCACCCACTTACCGAAAAAAATACGCTTGCGATTAAGGCTGCTTTTTCATCTGTCACCCGCTAGGCGAATCATCAACTTGTGAATAATAACTCACAATAACCTTCTGTACTAATTACGTCACGCAATGTTTACCGCAGTGCATTGTGGGATTGAGTGGGGGTCGCTGCACCGCGATCGCTTTAAAAAAACATAGAGGCACATAGTATTGTGTATTTTGGGTCTGATTTATTTTAAATTGCGCCACTAAAAGGCTAAAAAAAAGATTCGGTCTCTGGTCAGCGCGCGCGTCGATTTTAATCATGCGCGTCAACTTTTTTTTCAAATTAACACGGAAGCCACAACAGCGCCCTCTATTGCCGACCTCCGCAAAAGTTTGAACAAAGGAGCACCAAGGAATGGGGAAATTTCACCAAAGTAAATGATAAAAAGCACCAAGGCAAATTATGGAGGATACCAATGTATAATGAGGACACAAAAAAGCAAAATAGTATGCACCTTGTCTGTACAATTCAAGCTTGAAATAAAAAAAGCCACAAAAAAAAAATGCGTCGCCGCATCAATTCCAGAACTTCGGTCTGACCAGAGGCCGATTTTTTTTGGCCTAAAACTATCGAAAATGACCCTCAAATGTGTTAAAACCTCGTCTTTAATTAATCTAAACTATATTTCAGGTCGATGATTTTAAAAAATAACGGAGAACTTACGTATGCACAACGCTAGTCACGATGACCATATATCGCACGGTTTCACGCGTATACATCGAGCGTGACTGTGTACGGTGGCGTCACAGAGGGCAACGAGCGACTTGCTGCGGCAACCGCTTCGGGGAAACACGCTGCTTCAAGTAAGAGCGGTACAATCGGTCCCAATCCAAGTCAGTTGGAGTCAACTCATTTCCAAGTCAACTCGGTCCCAAATTAACTTGATGGGGGATTAAATGCTCTAGCAAGGCAATACAGGGGCAAAAATCATATTGAGCCATGTTATGGGGCCTTGCCATGTTAGGGTACATCAACAATACGCGTTAAAGTGGTTATTATGTCATAAACCGCTGATATCACGCCTTGCTGAGGTCATGCTTTCCACACAAACCTGGGCTTATAGCATGGTAGTCACTTTTTCATCATTTTTCATCCGTTGGAAAATGAAATAAATAACTGCATACGTTACTTAACGATGTCGACATTTTGTACGGGCACCGCTACACATAAGGCAAGGTTTGTGTGGAACGCGTAACCGAGGCAAGGCGTATAGCCTCAGCGGTGTATGATGTAACCACTTCTAACGCTTTTGTTGATGTACCCTAACATGGCACGGTCCCTAACATCACGCAGTTTGATTTCGCCTTCGCCTTGCTAGAGCATTTTTCCCAAGCAAGTTGATGTGGGACCGAGTTGACTTGGGACCGAGTTAACTTGGTAATGATTGACTCGAACTGACTTGGATTGGGACCGAGTTGACTTGAAACTCAGGGTCAACTCGGTCCCAAGTCAACTCGATCCCGGTGGCAAACAAAACGTGGAGAACATTTCTGCATGTTGATTCATAGAACGTGATCTTTCTTTTTTGTGTATGTGTTTTCCGTGGGTAACCTTTTCATGTACTTATTTGACTTAATCATTGATTTCGAGGTTGTACCGATTGTACCGCTCTTACGAAGCAGCGTGTTTCCCCGAAGTGGCTGCCGCAGAAAGTCGCTCGTTGCCCGCCGCACTGGTGCCACCGTACATAGTCACGCTCGATGTATACGTGTAGTACCGTGCGATATATAGCCATCGTGACTAGCGTCGTGCATACCTCAATTCTCCGTTATTTTAAAGAATCTTCGACCTGAAATAATTATCTAGAGGTCTTTATCACATTTGAGGGTCATTATCGATATCTTTAGTGGCGCAAATTAAAATAAATCAGACCCAAAATACACAATACTATATGTTTTCTATATCGCGGTGTGGCGACCCCCACTCAATCCCACAATGCACTGTGGTAAACATTGCGTGACGTAATTAGTACAGAGGGTTATTACACACACACACCAACAGCCACACCTGTTGCGCTCTATGGACCACCTGCAGGCCTAACTGAAAATCGTAAAAAGTTTGGCTGGACTTGGCTATTTTGCCAAATCCAACATAAACGCTATAGAACAATCAAGCCTACCTGCCATAGCTGATGCCATCAGAATCCAAGCCACTGCTCCGTCCATTCTCCCTGGTGCAATGATCGAGTGTTCTGTCAGTTGCATGGTATAACACACATGCGCCCACCATTCGCTTCGGCATATACGGCAACCACAAAATAGGGTGATGTCATCAAATCAACAAAATATCTAGCCAATTAGGAGACAGCCTGAGTTGAATGGAAGGTTGATGCTTTTTCATTGGCTTTGTTAAACAGGATGGTTACCTGAGGCATCCCTCTTCTATTCAATAATTGTCCGACATCCTTGACCGTACTGTAGAGCCATGAATCAATAACGATACGGTGCGGCACTACACGTAACACCTCCTCTCCCCACCCATCTTCCTGTATTATTCAAAGCAACTCCACTTGCAATTAACTGGCCTAGATACGAAACGGTTGACAAATAAGTACAATGCTTCTTTGGAATTGGTCAAGTGAGTACCAGCTTGTCTAAAATAGCTGATATTAAAAATTAACGATTACTAGAAATTTCCTCGTTGATCGGTAGAGAATTAATATGCATTTGGTACGGAGCTACATTACAGCAAGATAAAATAAAGGGGAAAACCGCCAGCTCCATCTTGTAACCGTATTAACGCCATCGCTGTAAGAGGTTGGTGGAGGGGTAAGGGGTATTTAACTTCACCCCCACCCCCAGTATTTTGTGAGTACCTCTTTTCGCGAGTGCCCTTTTATTCAAATAACTAAAACAAAGAGGGAGGAAACCCCCCCCCAAAAAAAAAGAAGAGCGCTCGTGAAAAAGGGCGCTCAAAGGTGCTCGTGATAAAGGGCGACCGTAAAAAAAGGGCCAGTGATCTTTCTAGGCCACTGTTATATTCGTGCATGTAAAGTTGTTCCGTCATCTAGAGCAGCGATCACGCAAAAGTTGTTAATCGGTCAACAGCTGCCATGTTTTTCCTCATACACCATCGGGCCGCGTAATTTTTATTCCTAGGAGGGGCAATGTCATGAATAATTCATGTTTATCCATGAGAACGGACAATGCCATCAACAGCATTGTTGTTAGCTACTCAACTAGTTACAATACATTAAAGCATTTTAAAGAACGATTGTTGTCGAGCTACCACACAGTAGCCTAGTGGATAGCGAGATGAGCTATGGATACAAAGATCCCTGGTTCGAATCCACGTCGTCGCTGCTCATTTTCATCAGCTATTTTTCTTCTCAAAATTTAACACTGAGATAATTTTGAATTAAGGGGAAAATAGAACGAGAACCTAAGTCTTGCAATGATTCAAAGGAAAAACTAAATTATTCATGACATTGCCCCTAACTCTCCTAGTAAAAAAATTACGCCATCGGGCCATCGAAGACACGATAGAAGGCGCCTGTTGATGGTTAGAATCTGGACGTCAAGACGCACTCTTGTTGTTTCTTTTAATCGCCACGCATATCACATTTACACAAGGCTACGAAAACTGTTGCACAATCTAGATATGCAACTTCAATTTCCAAATGCAAAAGTCTGTGGTTGGTGGGGAAGGAGGTCGGGGAGGGGGACGGGGGTGGGGTGGGGTTGCGGGGTGCTTGCCCTCATTTTGGGTGCTTTTCCCTTTTTTCTTCTTCTTCTTTTTCTTTCAACATTTCACGAATCCGCTGCAAAGTAGGAAGAGAATTCTTTGAAAACAAGTGACCCAACAATTAAATAGTAACATTTCGAATTTTGTAGTTACGCACAAAGCTATATAATATGATTTATTAATTATGAGCAATATTTCAGCTAACAAATGAACAGTGATATTAGATTAATGCCCGGCCGTTGGCTAGGATACATACATTGTGCATACCATCGTTAAATCCCAACCTCAACGATACATGACACTTTATATAGCGACTCCACGATTTCTGATTCTACAGAGCCGAAACTATTTATATAAATCAAATATTACGAACAACAAAATAGCTTTAGCATTATTGCTATCCTTATTTTTAAGAAAAATAAACTAATTGCTTTCAAAGTAATGAGCAAGACTAAAACATTTCAACTAGTAAAAGTAACCAATACCCAAGCAAATTGGACAGTTTGCACAGAGCACAGTAATCTAAAATGCCAACATTTTTACTTTCTTATTTTTTCTGATATGGTGCACACCACAAAACCACATTTCACATCACAAAGTGCGTTTGTTTTATAATTTCGATTGAGTTAAATACTAACACTGACATTTTTGGTGCCACAACTATTATTTCATTTTAAAAATTAATTATCATTTCAACACCATTCTACACAATAAACAATCAAATCATCCTGATTTTGGTATTTGTGCTTGCAGCAGCAACCGGGTACGACGACCCAATGTTTTAATTACATCTTTCAATAATTCGAACCTTTAAAGACTTGATAGTATTTACAGAACTATCATCTATTATCTAGGCGTAAGAGCCTTTCATTATAGACACATTTAAGTGATCAATTAATTATACAGAATTATACCTGAGACAACACTCTTTTTGCAATTGTTATGATTAATTCTAATTATTCGTACCCCATTTGATATTATGTTTAGTCTCATCGCTGTGATGACTACCAGGTACGACAGTGTTTTAATAACGGTCATTCAATAATTTGAACCTTAAAGACGTCTTGATGAAGACAATATTTACAGAACTAGGGTCTATCATTTAGGCGTAAGAGCCTTTCATTTATCATATTTGCGTAATCAATACTAGAATTAACCTTGAGACTTCCCTCCTCTTTACAATTGTCATGGTTATTTCTGAATAATCGTTCCACATTTGATATTATATTAAGGCAAGCTTTTCAGAATTATCTCTTTTGGTTTTGTACAATACCAGATATCTTCCGCTGAGGATAAATCACGCATACTATGGTGCATGTCTATTCAGACTTGTTTGCGTTCTGAACGCATTAGATCGCTAGAACAATTCTAGCATCTCATCTAGTAGATCTGATCTTTATGAATCTTACTGCCAACCTGTAAATCTCGTTTTATACCTCCGTCAGAAACTATTCCGACCATACCTTGATTGCCACTTGTGGATTTCATTTGAACCTTTAAGTTTCACAGAACTTTCCTTTAGGCTTCAGAGCCTTTAGCTAAACTTAATTGAATAATCGCAAGATACCACTCATCTATTACATTATGGCTGTTTCTGGAATTGTACCCCATCTAACATTGCTGTGTTGACTGCCAGATACGAAAAACCAAAACCATATTTGGAAAAATGGAAACGTACACCTGAACTATGCAAGACAACTCCTTCAGGCAAGGGTAGCAATGTTCGTCTCTTATAAATACTGTTTGAGACATTGAACAACTATGAAATTACAACCAGACTTAACAACTGTGTTAAAAATTGTGTGTTGTCGTTGCTGCTCGCAAGCGTGAAGTGATCTACCTTCAATCCAACCACGCACACATTCCTGTGCCACTCCCTATTCAAATTACGCGCCCTTAACCACTCTACCGTGTCTCATTTACATATCAATGATAAAGCAGATTTATTCTAATTCGTCCCGGTACTCAACCGAATAAATCAATATTTATCATTTCAACACCATTCTACACAATAAACAATCAAATCATCCTGATTTTGGTATTTGTGCTTGCAGCAGCAACCGGTATGAACTATAAAGAACGGGTCTATAATGCTGAATCCCCAAAAGGATTTAGATATTTAACATCATATTGCAATCACTCTCTTGGATATATTAAAGTATCCTTCTCTGTCTCTGATATGGCGTCCATGACGCTTGAACAGCCTGTTGGATATCTGCTTTGATAGCCACTAAGACTCCAACAGCAGCATGGGGCTGCTCTGTGAAAACTCTAACCTTCCCTCTCAAACTCTCGAGTACTTCATCGGTTTATACCTCTATGAAATCACTTTATACTCTTCTTTAACATTTGTTTAAGTTTATGAACACAAAAGAAGGTCTTTATCTGAAGGGAAGACTTTGACCCACTTGACATACAATTCCAACATTGTAACTGTACATGTTGATAATAATTACCTCGCAATAATAACTGAATTCACATGGCCGAGTGCATGAGATAACACGTAAATACTTCAATTAAAGTACGGCTAACTCACTGAGCCGATAAGACCCGGTATATGAAATAAGGGCCTTGACCAGGATTCTTATATGAAATAAGATGTGTACTGAACGGTCTTTACCCTATTTTGGCACTATCTCAGAAAGAATATCTGGTGTAATTGGATCTTTCTTTGGCTTAACCAGTGTTCTTGTCAGACCTTTAGCGCGGTGTATGACACCAGAGGGTCTTTGGTTGTATCATGGTCCCCAACTAGCCATGAGATGAACCCATGACATGACAGCTAAAGAGTTTGTGACTGTAGGTGCATGGTGATGTTGCAGAGTTCCAATATGGATCAGGTATAAGGCTACCATGTAAGGATCTGCGGGTAGGTATGATATTCCGTGCAACTCTGCCCATTGTCGCCATCTCGTGAAGGATGATCTGTACTCGAGACTGTTGATGGGGCTTGTGACTCGAGTAGCATGGAAAGCAGTTGACTGGCGAGACTATATCCAGCTCTTGACTTTTGGCTGATTGAGGACTCCGCTGCCTCCAATTATCGCTGTTGAAGATGAGCTTCCAAAAAGGAAAATAATAAAGATTGTTACTTTAACGAGATTAAAATCATGCGTCAACTTACTAAACACTTTCTTTATTAAGTGCATTTAATTAAAAGCGCATTTCCCACTGCTTATTGCTACAACTATACTCTGAATACAAAAGAACAGCTTATTTGCCAAATCTGAATCATCATCCGCTGGGGATATCAATTGTAACGTTTACAATACCAAACATCCGCTGAGGATGTCACCATATTTTGGTGTAAGTCTGCTGAGACTGTCTTGTTTGCGTTCTGAACGCATCTCGTTATATACTTCTGTCAGAAACGACTCTGACCCTAACTTTTTTGCCACGTAAACCACTAAACTTTAGTATGGTGATACTCGTGGCTTTCATATTAAACCAATGGGGTTATCTTGGCCAAGATTAGGCCAAATAATAAACTAGGCTGACCATGCATGTTTCCATAGAAGGGTTAACTTAAGGCCAATTTCACTGCCTTCGATTCTCTCCGAGTCGAGCTTCGAGTCTTCTCGCTATCTGACCGATGCCCAAATATTCTATTGAATCCCTTTTGTACTACCAGTGCGTCCAGCGTCGGTGGAACAGTTTTGAAACTGGAGGAAATTTTTCTCCGAACAAGACTAGTGAACTTTGATGAGAAACAGATGTAAATACATCAGTGAAACGGGATTCTAAATACCTTTGGACTTTATACGAATCTCAAGTCAAGCCTACTAGAACTAAATCTTCTCTCTGGTTTTGAAGGAACTGGCAAACTCAATCATCGTCTAAAAGACATCTTGTATTTCTACACTTCTCCGTCTTCGCACTAGACAAAACCACTTTGCTAATCCAAATACATTCTCCGCTTAAGTTAAGCATGTGCTCTCTGACTTTCTGAAAGCAATTGTTATAAAATGGAATAAGCTGGCAAATCTCTAAACCATCGTTAAGCAAGTCATCTGTACATGACATGTATGCATCATTCTGCATTTCTCACCTTCTGAACCAACTTCTTCACCACTTCAACCCCGTTTTGAGCATTTTAGAACCAACCACTTTTGGTTTGAGCACTGTGCTCTCTATTCTATGGCTTTCTGAAGGAAACTGGAGTGTCCCAAACTGTCTTCTAAGACAACTCTCCTTGTTCTTGCAATTGCCCCTTTTCCAGCGATCGTACTATTTTGGTACAATTTAAAGACACATATGATGGTAGGAATTGGAACAAATTGGAAAAAAAAAATTCTGTGAAACCCAGGAAAACCCGATTGGTCAAACGCTCACAAGGTGATATTTAAGATTTTCAGATCAAACTTCAACGTGAATCAATACGTTGTCAAGGAACAAAGAAATATGGGCGTATCACCAAATTTGACTGATTGATGCCAGGGCTATCTACTCCCTTTTCGGACGACATTCACCTGTTGTCACTGAATTGAAACTTACAAAGGATTAATGATAAACGGCTTTATTATGGGTTTCCAACAAATTGTATATGGCAGAACATCGATTCAATCTAGGGCCTATATTTCGTCTCAACAAGTAGAGTGTGGGTTTTCTGAAATTGACCATTTTCTGAGACTGGTTACATCTTATAACAAAGAACTAGTGTAAAAGTCCCCACAATTCACGATGGGAAAGTAATTCTCCAGAACACTCTTCGTTCGGAACCAGAAATCTCTCCGTTCTCAAAAAAATCATCTGTGAATTTCAACATCTGCAACTACATTTTTGCAAATTAAAAAGACTGTAATTTAACTTAGCTTCGTAAACTGGCTTTCTGCTTTCTGCTTTCCGATCTTCGGTCCATCTGCTATTAACAACTGTCTTGTCTTGATTGATACCGATGTAGGGGCGAGCTCTGTTGTCAGTAGCCTTGAATGTAATGTAGCTTCTTAAAATGAGATGTCGAATTGACTTTAGGAGAGCAAAACTGCCAACTCTCCCATTTGCTGATATAACGCAATGGAAGTACAGCGCCACAAAAATTGTGTGTTGTCGTTGCTGCTCGCAAGCGTGAAGTGATCTACCTTCAATCCAACCACGCACACATTCCTGTGCCACTCCCTATTCAAATTACGCGCCCTTAACCACTCTACCGTGTCTCATTTACATATCAATGATAAAGCAGATTTATTCTAATTCGTCCCGGTACTCAACCGAATAAATCAATATAAGGCGTGTACATTGATAGAATGAAATGTATTTTAAGATAAACATAAATTGCAGTATTTATATGTGAACAGGTATTCTCTGTATACAATACGTGTTTTGAATGAATCACCTAGATAAACAGGTCATTCCAAACTAATATGATTTAACAACTCTAAGCCAATTTACTAACAATAAAGTCGTCTATTTTTTGTCTAGTTCTCATTTTTAAAGTATATTTTAACAGCATTAAAGTATATGACTAATGCTAAGCTTAACACGTCACGAATTCAATTGAATTCAAAGCACAGGCTATTTTCAAGTCAATATTGTTGGAAAGGCTTCTGAAAAAAAGTCATCATGCACTTATGCCACAGCAATTGGTTTGATATGTCTGCGCCCTTCAGTAAACCATGACTCCAAATTTGATGTACGTTTTTATATTTCTTTGTATTGTTTAAACATTTCACAGCATTGTTTATCTAACTCAAACAAACCAACCATTTAGCACTTCCAAACTCATGCTGCCCTTTATCTTTTATAATGTGCTGGGGGTATCTAAGCTACGTATTATGTGATATAATTTATTATCTAGTGATATGTTAATCTAAACAATGAAACGCTCAAAATGTTTACTCATGTTTAACACAGTTTTCCAGGGAATTCAAACCCGTTTCCCACTGTCTCCGCCTTAAAGGTATATACCGACCATCAGTTTGTTTTTATGCATTTGTTTGTATAAAGTGACAAATTAATCGATAGCTTAAGAAGGGTCCGTAACTAACGTGTTAAAGTATCAGCTCAGTGGATACTTTATATACATTTGAGAAAAAAAGAGAAGACGTATGTACATTTTGGGGTTTCTTACAAATGGATTCCGTTGCTAACCTCAGTGGCACATACTTTTAAGAAGCCTTTTGTGATTATTTTCCTCTGAATGATACCGTTTCAGACGGATTCAAATTCAACAGGTCATTTGGTATCAACCCTATCTTCAACTTGGGCAGGCGTTTTTCGTCAAACTGGTAAGCACGTTTCCTGCAAGTGCAAAATGTTTCTACCTGCCTTTAACACGTAAGGTCCATTGTGGTTATTCCATATAGTTCGGTAATAATTAAATTGATATTTTAATGCAATTTTGCAAGCGGAAAGAATGTTCGAAATAGCACTGATTTAGCCAAATTAATTACGGCGACATCCAAGCAACTCCAATTGCAGACGAACCCAGACATGCCATTCGGTAGGCTCGATGCGCACTACCGACGCCACCACACTCTCATTAAACATGTTGGTGACAGGGGTGCAGCGGGCATCGGTGTTACCCTTGAACAGCTAAAACAAAAGCAAAAAGATGCACGTTTTGTTCATCTTTAAGCACAATACTGAATATTGGGAGACACCTTCATGGAAACATGAGCTTGGAAACAAATCGTACGTATTTTAATCAGTAAAGTATCAAGGTTGTGCAAACTCGGGGAGGGAGATCACGGACAGACCACTGTGCGTTGGAAGGTAGCCAAGGATTTGTTTCCGCTCACCTGGCCACCGCAATATATAAAAAAACAGTGAAGAGGCTGGATACCACCTAATTAGAAAGAGGAGGGAAAATTCCAACCGGACCATGCAGTTTCTGGGGTTTTGTTCCCATTGGTAAAATTGATAAAACCTGGATCGGGTAATGCCACAATAGTAACGGTTGTGAGGTATGCAGGTGCTGTCGAGCAAGGCAAAATGTCGCGGGGGAGGAAATTAAGCTATGATAGTTACCTTGACGTTTCCGTTTCCATCTCTCACGTGTTCACATTGAGAGGTGGACTGCTTCTTAAAGGCCACTTTGTACATCGTTACATATCCATTAAACTTCCCGAGCGCCAGGCTTTGTGTGATGACGCCAGATACAACCGTGCTTGTAGCCAGGTCCATCTCGATCCAGGAATCGGGGTTGCTGTGTACACAAAGTGGATGGAGGTGAGGACAGTTAAATAGACATGCTCGCAAACAAACCCGCTTTTATCAGGAGAGGGATCGGCAAAACTGACCATGGTAAAAAAAAATACTGACGCCTTTTCAGGACAATGCAAAACTTACTCAATTTTGAATGAGATAATGATTTACAGATATTGGCCTTCTTTTATTTAGTACGGAAGCCCGCCAGAAAAAAAACATCGAATTTAGCAAAATCCCTTTCGTCTTAAGAGCGTCTAATATAAGATGTGCGTATGAGGTGTAGTTTACTGTACTTAACAGTGTTTAATTGTTATACCTACCTCGATGGTGCCCATATACTGTCACTGTTTAACCGTCCCTTTTGGGGTGGGCAACAGCCAGGATAGTTGGTGGACTCCCAAACGCTGGACGCCGTGATGTGATCATCAGGGATTGTCCCGTCCTCCATGCCAAGAGCCTCTGGACTCGAACACTCAGCCGTTTCTGCTAAGCGATGAAAATAAACCATACAAGGGTGTATTTGCCTGCAATCAGGAACCCCCTATTGCCCCTCTTTTGTTTGAACTTTTAACCTTTTTTTAGGAAGACCTCCCATTATGTTTTGTTCACTATTCCAACGTGGGGACCTCTCGTGAATTTGGGCCCCCTTTTGTCCTCCATATTTAAACGTCCCCTATTGAAAGCAGAAACAAACTCATATTGATGTATAATTGTCGAACCCCCACCACCCTCTTGTGTATGCGTTTGTCTATTGTGTAAATCGAGGACACACACGTGCAAAAAAATCGAGGACGACTTCGATTAAAAAAACGTGTACAAAGCCAATGACAGCTGTTGCGAAATAGTTAGTACAAACAAAAGAAAAACGGAAGAGGAACAAAAGAAAACCCTCGATTTACACCATGAATAAACGTGTGTGCGCATGTGCATATACGACATACCAAAGTGTAACGGGATTATGGACCACGCCCAAAAGTTTGAATTATGGATGTGTTTAAAGTAATGTACAGGCACTGGAGAAGACACAACTGATTGGAAAAAAATGAATAACGGTTTGATTAATCAACAAAATTGAGCACCATTCGTTTTTCTGATGATACAATGCAAGTAAACCAAAGTTCGGTTCAACTGTTAAAAAATACCTACCGTACAGGGGAAACTTCGCTGCACGACTTTTGACCGTAAATTGTACGGGCACTGTTTTTAAAGTGCAGTTTAAAATGAAGCAGTAACTAGAGCTGGAAGTATTACCTGTACTAACTGCAGTCGTTTGACTAACTGTAGTCGCACCACTAGCAGTAGTAGTACCACGAGCAGTCGTCGTTCCACCAGCAGTAGTCGTTCCACTGGCAGTAGTCGGTCCAACAGCAGTAGTCGGTCAAACAGCAGTAGTCGTTCCACTGCAGTTGAAGTAAGCTTGAACTTCGTCGGAGTCCTCACTGAGGAAAAGCTCCTTTAGGTAGTGGGGCGCCCCCTGGCGGTATGATGAAGCAGGGATGTGCGTCCCACCGAGACGTACAGCTGTGCATTCGCATGGGACTTTGTACGGCAGGAACCAACGAAGTGGGATACCAGCTTGGGGGTCGTACTCCGATCCGATGAAGCAGACTTTGTGGCATGAGGCCAACACTACAGTTTTCGTATAAAACGTTCACGCAAAAGGAATAAGAGAAAAAAATAATTATGTCAAAGTTAAGGTTATTTTTTGGTGCAATATTGATTAGCATGCCCCATTGGTGACCAAGGTTCGAATACCAAAAGGTCAAAAGTTTGAAGTATGAGGCCAATGACACAAGCAATGAATGTAACAAACATTCAAATGCAAACCACAAAAAAAACAGTTTTCTTACATCCAAGACAGGGTGGATGGTTTAAGCGCCTCTCACGATCAATTTATCGTAATCAATATCATTAAGTTCAAAATTACCTGGCTACGGCTAGCAATAACACACATTTCTATGTGTAATTTCAAGCCGTAGCCAAATAATTGGGACGCAGTCTTATTACAAAGTGGTGAAAATGATTATATTGCCACCCAGTGATAGCCATGGAAGGTACTTAAAGTTTAAACAATAAGTCAAATGCCACCACAAATTCAACTAAGCAATATTACTTGAATTCAAACTATGGAAATAGTTTTTTTTTTCCACACACTGAGAAAAAGTTGGAATTTTTGAAGCGCCCTCTCGCAGTAAATCTAATGCGACAAAATATCGATGTCTGAGATGATGAAAAGGATTCATACCGCCCCCCAGTGATAACGTTCCAAAAGTTTGAAAGATGAGTTTTATAACTAAAGAATTCAATTATTGGTATGCAAAATATGGAAACAACCAAAACAAGGTGGATGGGTCGATCGAGCACCCTCTCGCGGTAAATCAAGCGCAACACAATTATCAGTGTTCAAAAAGTGGTGGAACGGATTTTTACTGCCTTTCTAGTGGTAAGCAAGGTGCTGAAAGTTTGAAAGATGAGCATCTTTAATACTGGAAAGTAAAATATGGAAACTTGTTTTCGCATACAAGATAGAGCGATGTGTAAAGCTTCCACTTGTGATGAATCTAAAGCAACACAATATCAACATCTGTGTTGTTATTTTCACAGAAGAAATTGCGTGATCAGTTCAAAGAGCTACCCCCTCCATATGGTGAACTCAAATATCTCTGTTGAGTGTGAAGAAAAGAGTTGTCTACATGTTTATGAATTATAAGTAAAATTTCATAACTTGCTGTCATTGCAATCAAATCAATTTGAATGTGGTTGGGAGTATGACAACAATTTGCCACTAGACTATTGCTGCTGGAAGGTAGACTTCTTCCGGTCACTGGGCTGCCGCAGATTCCTGCAAAAAGTTGAGGAGTGACACGGACTTTTTTTTGGTGGGGAGGGGGGTTGAGGGCACTTCAAATATCTTTGATACTATAGGACAGTAGGTGGCGCTATTCATGGCGGCATAATTTACTGAGTGACACACGATGCGGTCGACAGAACGAGGAGTTTACAGACAACATATTTTAATTGGCATACCCGTCACACCACCTCCACCTCCCTCCATCAACGCCTGTGCTGTTGTGTATTGTAATTTTGTAAACAGAGGCTCTTAATGTCGACTGATTAATTATTGGGGTGGGTATTTTACTCAGCACCACCTCCCCCCCCCCCCGGTTCGCTACATACTGCCCTGATCAATCAAAAACAATATACGCAATTGGTCTGACTGCTGTTGCGATATAATACCGCACAAAAAAAATGCACTAGTCACTTCCTAATAACTGTATGCGTCCTCGAAACACAAAGATCACTTCATCACTTCATATTTTTTTTCGGAAGAAAACTGTGTTTCGTCTTACAAACAATAAATTTAATGATTTTGTAAAAAAAAAAAAAAATTACCCCCGTGCTTTTGTCACAAGTTGAATCCTTAGATCTAGAGCAATCTGTTATTTCAGATATTTTTTATTTTATGGGGATTAAAAGAAACAAATAATAATTGCTGGGAAATACTTCGAAGTCTTTCAACACTGTAAATCGACTTTGTCCTGTTTCACCAAAGTGGCGTTAGGCTGCTGCATGTTTTTTTCAGTTTATCATCGTTATACCATAAAGAAAAAGGGTGGGCATTACATTCACTGTGTGGACTTCCGAAAAATAAGAGGTCCACATAAATTAGGCAGAGGAGACGTTGTGTGGACTTGGGCAAGTCCACACAGTGTTTCCCCATTTCTGGAAAAAAGGTTTAGAGGTATTTTGGGGCTAGGTTTATCCGTAGCAGAATGAAGAGAAACACCAGAGGGAATCATAGGAAAAAAATTGGTTGAAAGAGTTTCACTGTTTGAGAAAAATGAGTTTTTGCACTGGTTTGTCTTAACTACACGAAACCAACGGAATGTACACATTACGTAAACATGCGTGTACACACATGCCAGTTCGTAGACACAAAGTAGATCCTAGTCTTGACAATCATTCGTCCATGCGCACAACAGTAAGAAGTATTTGCTACCTGTTGTTTCTTGAATGCTAAACATTCAAAGAAAAATTCATGAGGATTCAAGCATTTGCTTTTCCGTAATGCTTTTACTCTAAAGTAAATGCTTTTACTTTTTCCTTAAACTTCCTAGCAGTTGCTAGTTTTTATTCATACGTACCAATTACACATGAACACATCAATATACACACGTTTTGCGCTTTATGGTCTAGCTGTTATAAACAGTGTACAGTATTGTGGCTGAACTTAGCTATTTTCGAAATTCAACATGAAAGTTGCTAATGACAGCCTACTTGCCACTGCTGATGCCAACAGAATACAAGCTCCTGCTCCGTCCATTTTCCCTGATGCAATGATCAAATATCTGTTACATTGATCGTGTATCTCCGAGTACATCAACCTCATTTGCTTGCCTCGTCAGAGCTAGCTACGCAGACCATCAAAGTGGCTAACGCCGTTAGCAGCCAATAAAGTCACTGCGTGTTGTTTATTTTCATTGCTACGTGTGCTGGGTAGCTATTTCGTGTTCTTGGTAAAACAGGATCGTTACCTGAGGCATCCTTCTTCAATATACCGACATCCCTGACCGTACATGAATCAATAACGATACGGTGCGGCACTACACGTAACACCTCCTTTCCCACCCCTCTTCCTGTATTATTCAAAGCAACTCCACTTGCAATTAACTGGCCTAGATACTTTGGAGAAGATTCAGTGAGGTACCAGCTCGTCTAAAATTGCTGATAATAAAATTGAACAATGACTAGGAACTTCCTCGTTGATCGGTAGAGAATTAATATGCATTTGGTACGGAGCTACATCACAGCACATTACAGCAAGAGAAAATAAAGGGGAAAACTGCTCCATCTTTTTACCGTATTAAAACCTTCGCTGTAAGAGGTGGGTGAGGGAGGGGGTAATTAGAGGTATTAACCCCCCCCCCTCCCCAATATTTTGTGCGTGCCTCTTTTCGCGAGTGCCCTTATATTCACATAGCTAAAACAAAAACGGCTACGGGAGGGATGGGGTTGCGGGGTGCTCTGTCTCATTTAACCTATGGGCACTTTTCCCTTTATTTTCTCTTCTGTCAACAATTCACAAATCCTCTGCAAACTAGGAAGAAGAATTCTTTGAAAACAAGTGACCCATCGATTACATAGTAACATTTCGAATTCTGTATGATTTACGCACAGAGCTACATGATATAATTTATTACGAGCAATGTTTAAGCTAACAATTCATCATTGATATGACATTAATGCCCGGATGTTGGCAAGGATACAGACATGTGCATGCACTTCTTCAATACCATTGACATCCCGATCTGATCCATACATAACACGTTATTCAGCGATTGCACATTTGAACTTGTTTTAAAGTAACCATTACCCTATAAAATTGAGACATTAACACGGCCTGTAGACCTCTACTTACAAGGGCGGATCCAGAACACAATTTATTTGAGGGTTCAGCGTGGGGTTCGAAACCCGCATAGGGGCTGCGAAAAACGTTTGGATTCTAGATGCTCTGAGGTGTGATCTGAGGCAATTTCTGAACACCTCAACAATTTTTTTAGGAAAAGATGATGGTCGCAGTGCCTTCCTTTATTGTGACATCACTTTAAAAATTGGTTCATGGGGGAAGGCATAACCCCGTATCCCCCTCCTGGATCCAGCCTTGTCTACGTCAATGAAAGTTTGCACACAGGGCACAGTTCTAAAATGCCAAGTTTCCTTTTCTTTTTTTTCTTTTTTGATATAGTGCAAATATAATATAACATAATTTTATTATTTTATCATAGTTTCATAACTTTGACAGCTTTCAAGACTAAAGTACTTTCATATTTAGTATGGCCACGACGATAAATTCTAAGAATCGAAAGACTTGTGCATTGAGATTTACATAAGTTTTAGTATTTACACAAGTGGGCATGCATTCTGTATTAAAGACATAGTCCATCATTTGTAATTTGTGCATTTTGTTCGTTTGAAGCAACAAAAGTGTTCAAAATCTAATGAAGGATACTGAACAACTAACCTGATGAAGTTTCAGCTTAGCTTCAGCTGTACATTCCGAAAAATACAGCATTCTAGGATCTCAATTTCAAAACAATAGTTGCTAAATCATGTTTTTAATTGTTTTGAATTGCAGCTTTACGCGATTTCGCGCAATGATCCGACGAATTATAGCAACTGCGCGCGCCTCTGCGTCGTGCCAATGCTTGCGCGCGCTGCGCCGAATAACAAAACGAACTACTTATTTAAATTTTCCTACGGTACTTCTTAAGACGCACCGTTTCAAATGCCTTCTTTCGTTGATTTCTTCAAAATGAGAGCTTGCCAGAAAGAATAATTTCACAGGGAGTTTAGTCCCCTTACTATCTTTCAACCAAGTATGTTTTTCAACAATAATTACGCCAGTTACTTTTTTGGATAGCTGCAAATGATGGACTCCGGCTTTAATACAATCACTGCTTTGAATGTGTTATCTATATAGCATAAACAAGTCACCCTAACCTGAGTTGATTCTAAACTCGTCATGTTTTCATTTTTCTTGATTGTTTTAGGTTACATTGTTATTTTTAGCATATTTCAACATCACCGAAGAATACAGCGATAAACGCTATTCCAAAGACATCAAGCGCAGCCTATGTTCAAACCAATGTTGTTTGAAATGCTTCTTGCAAAAAAATATATCAATTGAAGCCATTTAATTTGTTTTGATGTGTCTGTGCAATTTTTAATTACAAGATCGATTCTTACAAGATCGATTTTAAAAACAGTAAAATAACAAAGAGTAATTGCAACCATGACTCAAATTCCGATGCATGGTTTCGGAGGTTTTGTTATTGTTCATCTGACTTAAAAAAACCTGATTGAATATCCGTTACTACTACAAAAAAGCAATATGTAACACAGTCATCTTACCCTTTATAGATCTTAAATGTGTTCTGGGTATCTAAGAGGGTATTTTGTTAATCAATTTTGTAATATTTTAATCTTAACAATGAACGCACAAAAGGTTTATTAACGTTTTGTTTTTCCAAAAAAAAAATCAAAATTTCCCGTTGTCTCTGCCTTACATTTACATACCATTTGTTTTTGGTTTTTGTTTAAGCCTCGCTATTCAATTCAGTAGGTTGATATTTCGCCAATTAAGAGAGAGCCTGAGTTTGAATTGAAGGTTGATACGTTTTCATTGGCTTAAGCATACAGTGTGGGCGCAGCTTATACATGAGGCGGGTTATAGAACAATTGGTTATAGAACAACCCAATTTTGGGTAGTTGCAGTTTCACCCTTTCTTGGGTAAAATAAACCAAGGCAATTTCGATATCAGAAGGGTTTATTCATATATGTCCAAGCGATACAAAACCAATGCCCTCAGACTCTGTCTTAACGCATAATGTATATTGTGGTTATTCCGGGTGGTTTGGCAATGAATCAAATCTATATTGTAACGCAACCTTGCAAAAACTAATATTTAGAATACAAACGATTCAGCCAAATTAATTAGGGCGACATCCAAGCAGCTCCAATTGTAAACGAACGTGGTTCTTCCAATCAGTAGGCTCAATGCGCACTACCATCGCCACCACACTCTCATCAAACATGTTAGTGACCGGGGTATCGTGATCAGTGTTACCCATGAACACCTGCATCAAAAACATATTTTAAAAAAGGGGGTTAATCTTAAATGGGAACGAAGGCAGACACGTTTTCTCGAGGTAAGATGGAAATAAATCTTTTTTTAGTAGCGTACGTATCAGGTTTAATTCGTCTGGGGCATCACGCCCATACCATTTCACGGTGGAAGGTAGCCATGAATGTTTCTCCGCTCACCCGGCCCCGCTATATAAAACTACGGAGCTTTTAAAGGGACATAGGTGGAAAAAAAAATTGAAAAAATCCATCGTAAGAATGAAAACAAATCTGCGTTCGAACGCAAAAAATCTGCGTTCGAACGCAAAAAATCTGCGTTCGAACGCAAAAAATCTGCGTTCGAACGCAAAAAATCTGCGTTCGAACGCAAAAAATCTGCGTTCGAACGCAAAAAATCTGCGTTCGAACGCAAAAAATCTGCGTTCGAACGCAAAAAATCTGCGTTCGAACGCAAAAAATCTGCGTTCGAACGCAAAAAAATCTGCGTTCGAACGCAAAAAATCTGCGTTCGAACGAAAAGAGTCTGCGTTCGAACGAAAAAAATCTGCGTTCGAAGGAAAAAAAGCTGTTTGCTGTTTGCTGTAAGCTGTTTGCCCTCCCTGTGCTGCCCCACCACTTATGTGGGTGATTTGGTCACGTTTTTTCAGGTCCAACATGCATGACATATGTGCCCAATGTAGGTCCGTGGCCCAAGTACAGGGATTTCAATAACAGGTCTTAAAGCAGTCTATGAGCTTTCAAACGGTCTTACTAGGGCTTGCTGTTAGTTGGTCATGAAGTTTAACCATTGCAATGAAGATCTAGCTAATTGTCCTTCTTTTTTTTAAGAGTCCCTATCCTGTTACAATACTAGCTACAACACAACCCCCCCCCACCCCATCAGTCCCACCCATTATGCTATGCTGAGGCAACACACTTATGAGACATTTTTAAAAGTAATTTGCCTTTTTGGTTTCTTTTTATAAAGTGAGGCAAGTTTTAAAAAAATAATTAAAAAAGGCTATATAATTATCTTTCAAATTTTTCAGGTAAATAAATATAACTGGTCGTCATTGTGATTTTCAGAAATTTGTCTATCCACAAATCCTTTACAGTATAAATGTTCATTCCTAATCCTTGTAATAGTTCCAAACTTTAGAAGCGACTGACATGTATATATTGTTTGATCATTTCTGGCTTTCAATAAGCCTATTTTACTAGTCTAACACTAGTACATGTACATGTACTTTCTGCTTCCTCACTTTCAGATACGGGATTCACTAATTAGCTGATTCCTACTCATACTCATAGCAATCGACAAACATGTCGGGCTATTCTGATAGCCATGGCTAACCCGACATGTTTTTTGGTGGCCCATGGATAACCAGTTAAATGTGGAGAAACTGTTGCACTTACAAGAGCATGATATGAGTCAGCTCATGATTGATACGTTTTACATGTTTGGTACAACAGTTTTCAGGGCAAAGAATGTTTTGACCCACAAAAATCACCCACATAAGTGGTGGGGCAGCACAGGGAGGGCAAACAGCTTACAGCAAACAGCAAACAGCTTTTTCGTTCGAACGCAGATTTTTTTCGTTCGAACGCAGATTTTTTTTCGTTCGAACGCAGATTTTTTTCGTTCGAACGCAGATTTTTTGCGTTCGAACGCAGATTTTTTGCGTTCGAACGCAGATTTT